CAACCAGGCCACAATATGGAAGACCTCAATATTTTAGTTCTGAAAGGAAAATTCAAATCCATCCAGGAAAGAAAAACATTTGAACTAAGAATGATAATTCTATTTGACACAAAAGATAACAGCCTTAATTTGGATATGGGATTCCTCAACCATTATCCGACAGCTTTATGACTATCTATTAGCTAAAGCTTGACCCCCTCTGTATGAGTGTAGTATCCCCCCTCCCCCCCCCGCTTTTGATGTATCTTATCTGTAGCCCTTTTTTTTTTTTTCTCAATCCCTTCTAACATTCTGCTTAAACTTTGTGATTTGTAATAGTACTGCTTAGACCTTGAAGAAGGGGACATACCCCGAAAGCTTGTCTCCAAAATTGTATGTTAGTGCAAATAAAAAAAGTATCACGGACAGTACTCAATTGTTTCTGTCGCAAATGCACTAATACGGCTACAATCACCTCATCCCATAGGAGCAAAACTGTAATAAAATTTATAATGATAGGTCTTTTTTTCAGTTTATATAATAATATATTGGAGAAAACAATGAAAACCTTTAGTGCAATAATATATAAGTAGGAACAGTGCCAAACAAAAATAAAATACAAAAATAAAGCAGCTAACACCCCACCCTCTACTAGAGGTGATAATAACAAAAAATGTGCAGAATTATTCATAACAGAATAACAATAATATGAGTACCAAGCAAAAAATATCCAAATGATCAAAATCACAAATATTCAATGAATAAATCAATAAAAATGTCTCTAATGTTCTTCAAATCAAAAACTTCATAATTGCTGAAAATCCTCCACCAATATATGTGCAAGACTCCATCACTCTTCTGCTCCATGAAGACGTCAAGTGACGAATCGCGTAGGGTGGGAGCTTCGGAGTAATGTCACCACGTTCCATAAGCTGCCGGCATCTCCGGCTTTTGCAGTGGCTTTATGTATATTTGCAGTCGAAGCTAGTGCCAGCTGATGACACTTGAAAATGTGAGTTGTTTGGATGAAGAAGCTTTTAATAAAAACCTGCTATACAGTATCACACTATTTCCTGCTCTGTTCTCTTCCCTTTGAGCGTACATGCTGTATGAAGATTCATATATTATAAGAAACATCTTCTGTTGCCGGTCATCAGTCTGCAGACCATTGCTCCCAGAGCCAACATGCGATTTGCTAGTTTATAATTTTACTAGCAATTTGCTCTGGTGAGTTGATTTAATTATATTGGCGATGGAGTCTTGCACATACAGTCATGGCCGAAATTGTTGGCACCCTTGATATTTCTCCAGGAAATCATGTATTTCACAAAAAAAGGTATTGCATTAACACATGTTTTGCTATACACATGTTTATTCCCTTTGTATGTATTGGAACAAATATAAAACAGAGGCAGAAAAGCAAATATGACATAATGTCACACAAAACCCCAAAAAATGGGCTGGACAAAAGTATTGGCACCCTTAACTTAATATTTGGTTGCACACCCTTTGGAAAACATAACTGAAATCAGTCGCTTCCTATAACCATCAATAAGCTTCTGACACCTCTCACCCGGAATTTTGGACCACTCTTCCTTTGCAAACAGCTCCAGGTCTCTCTTATTGGAAGGACACCTTTTCCCAACAGCAATTTTAAGATCTCTCCACAGGTGTTCAATGGGATTTAGATCTGGGCTCATTGCTGGCCACTTCAGAACTCTCCAGCGCTTCTTTGCCATCCATTTCTGAGTGCTTTTTGACGTATGTTTGGGGTCATTGTCCTGCTGGAAGACCCAGGATCTTGGACGCAAACCCAGCTTTCTGACACTGGGCCCTACAGTGCGACCCAAAATCCTTTGGTAATCCTCAGATTTCATGATGCCTTGCACACAGTCAAGGCACCCAGTGCCAGAGGCAGCAAAAACAACCCCAAAACATCATTGAACCTCCACCATATTTTACCGTAGGTACTGTGTTTTGTTCTTTGTAGGCCTCATTCCGTTTTCGGTAAACAGTAGAATGATGTGCTTTACCGAAAAGCTCTATCTTGGTCTCATCTGTCCACAAGACGTTTTCCCAGAAGGCTTTTGGCTTACTCAAGTACATTTTGGCAAACTGTAGTCTTGCTTTTTTATGTCTCTGTGTCAGCAGTGGGGTCCTCCTGGGTCTCCTGCCATAGCGTTTCATTTCATTTAAATGTCGACGGATAGTTCGCGCTGACACTGATGCTCCCTGAGCCTGCAGGACAGCTTGAATGTCTTTGGAACATGTTTGGGGCTGCTTATCCACCATCCGGACTATTCTGCGTTGCAATCTTTCATCAATTTTCCTCATCCGTCCACGACCAGGGAGATTAGCTACAGTGCCATGGGTTGCAAACTTCTTGATAATGTTGCGCACTGTGGACAAAGGCAAATCTAGTTCTCTGGAGATGGACTTGTAACCTTGAGATTGTTGATATTTTGCCACAATTTTGGTTCTCAGGTCCTCAGACAGTTCTCGTCTCCTCTTTCTGTTGTCCATGCTTAGTGTGGCACAGACAGACACACAATGCAAAGGTTAAGTGAACGTCTCTCCTTTTTATCTGCTTTCAGGTGTGATTTCTATATTGCCCACACCTGTTACTTGCCCCAGGTGAGTTTACAGGAGCATCACATGCTTGTAACATTCTTATTTATCCGCAGTTGTGAAAGGGTGCCAATACTTTTGTCCAGACCATTTTTGGAGGTTTGTGTGACATTATGTCGAATTTGCTTTCTTTCCTCCCTTTTTTTGTTTTGTCCCAATACACACAAAGGGAATAAACATGTGTATAGCAAAACATGTGTTAATGCAATACGTTTCGTGAGAAATACATGATTTCCTGGAGAAATATCAAGGGTGCCAACAATTTCGGCCATGACTGTATATTGGTGGTGGATTTTTGATTTGAAGAACATTAGAGACATTTTTATTGATTTATTCATTGAATATTTGTGATTTTGATCATTTGGATATTTTTTGCTTGGTACTCATATTATTGTTATTCTGTTATGAATAATTTGCACATTTTTTTGTTTTATGTATTATTGTCAGAGCAACATGTTTGTTTAATGAGCGCTACCCTTTTCTTTTCGTAATGAAAACCTTTAGCCCACAGAAGGCTCTAAATATTAAAAATTCAGCAATTTAGTAGACTCTTTTGGAAAATGTTTCTTAAATCGTTATTTGGGATTATAACACACACACTGGGGTTGATTTACTAAAGCTGGAGAGTGCAAAATATGGTGCAGTTGTGCATTGCAGCCAATCAGCTTCTATCATCAGCTTGTTCAATTAAGCTTTCACAAAAAAGCCTGGAAGCTGATTGATTTTGTTGCACAAGATTTTCCGCTCTCCAGTTTTAGTAAATCAACCCCACTGGCTCTTGCCAAATAATGCACTATAATAAATAGTATAATACCAATGCTATTCTGTGTATTCTTTGCATTGTTTAATGTGTACTGCTTTTTTTTCAGAGATCTTACATCTTATCTTTTTTTCTTTTTCTTTACTTCCATGGTACTTCATATAAGACAATATCTGATGTCTGAGTTTCCTATGCTAGGATCACAATTAGTGACATAGCAATATTTTGGGGTATGTAGCTAGCATTCTGTCTCCCTAGAGGTGCCTCAAGCATCAGCTGGCAGTTCTCCGATGCTGACAGAGCAGCACTACTTGGTATTGATAGCCTCGTCTGGCTGCAGTAATAGGAACGTTAACCTAAACTTGTATGGTTTCCATCACTGCTCTACACTCAGGAGCCTCCATCCATCTCTGTGCCACTCGTCAATAATGCTGATGGACCCTCCAGACACTTATCAATATTTAACTCTCTCTCTCATTGACTCAGCAATTACCCAGTAATTGATTTAAGATTGATTATCGCCAGGATAACATTTTAATGTTGATAACTATCAAAATGTGAAATTATTTGTCTTTATAGACCTGTTTTCCCAGCTGATTGATGTTCTTAGGGTTAATGAGGTGTGAAAAAGCAACATATTCTTTAGAATGAGTTGTGATCCATCTTCACTTGCAGTATTTGTAGGTTTGCATGGCTGTTTTTTAAGCTCTGTGAACAATATATAACTGTGGTTCCTTTTCTGTGTCCTCACAGAAGTAAAAGTGATTCCTCTTCTGTCTACTGTCAGTTCTACATTACACCTTTTATATATAGACACTTCATGCAGTAAGCTGTGTAATGTTCCAGCAGAAAATCAAAAGCACACAATAGAATGTCATGATTGGTTACTACGTACATACAAGGGTGGATGTATGAAAACTGCAGCAAAGTAAAATTAGATGTAGTCAATCAGGTTTTAACTTTCAAACTGCACTTGGACAAAGGATTCTGATTAATTTCTATAGGAACGCCCCTTTTGGTGTTTGATCCAGATTGCAGGATTCATTGGAAGGGTATTCATAAAAACACAGGGTAATCTCAGCACTTCATCAAAAACACACAATTTAGGTTTTCATCTACTTCACAAAATATATTAAAAACTGGCAATAGATATTATTAATGACAGCACTCTGTAAAAAAAAAAAAAAAGAACAGAGCGGATATTGCATTCTCTGTTAATTTTTTTAAATGTTGCCTAAGATGTCTGTGCTTTATTATTATTATTTGTCTTATAGAGCTTTGTACATTAAAATAATCTCACACACTATCTAAGTAGTAAATTAAATAGATATCTGCCTGCGTATTTAGAAAAAGAATGCAAAGGGCAAAGTAAAGTACCCAAATCCACTAGCCAAAATTCATCTTACACTTATCTGGCTTTGGCAATATTAATTTTAACCATCTTCCGCCCGCCCTATAGTACAATGACGGGCGCAAGGTGGTTCTCTCATTCTGACAGGACGTCATATGACGTCCTACCATTCTCACTGCACATGCGTGGCTCAGGGAGCGTGCAGCGCGGAGATCACTGGTGCGTTGTGTCCCTCGGACACAGCGGATCACGGAAAGAGCTGAAGATGTCGGCTCGGTCATGTGATCAGCTGTGTCCAATCACAGCTGATCACTTGTAGACACAGAAATGCAGGTTATCTGCATTTCTCTCCTCTTGAGCTGTCGCGCTGACAGCTCGAGAGGAGAGCCGGTAATCGGCTTTCCGCGGAGGGGACATGTACACTGATCATCAGGGCACTGATGATCAGTGTGCCCTGATGATCAGTGTGGCCCCAGAAGTGCCACCTTTCAGTGCCCATCAGTGCCACGTGCCAGTGCCCATTAGTGCCACATCAATGCCACATATCAGTGCAAACCAGTGCACATCAATGCCACATATCAGTGCCCATCTGAGCTGCCTTTCAATGTCACCCATCAGTGCCAGTCAGTGCCACCTATCAATGCCAATCAGTGCCACCTATCAGTGTTGCCAATCAGTGCCACCTATCTGTGCCAGTCAGTGTCGCCTATCAGTGCGCATCAGTGCCAGTCAGTGCTGCCTATCAGTGCCAGTCAGTGCCACTTATCAGTGCCAGTTAGTGCCGCCTAACAGTGTCAGTCAGTGCCGCCTATCAGTGCCAGTCAGTGCTGCCTATCAGTGCCGCCTATCAGTGCCATATATCAGTGTCATGTATCAGTGCTGTCTTTCAGTGCCCATCAGTGATGCCTGCTAATGCCCATCAGTGCAACCTACCAGTGCTTCCTCATCAGTGCCCATCAGTGCCACCTATCAGTGCCCATCACTGCAGCCTCATTAGCGCACATCAGTAAAGGAGAAAAATCACTTATTAACAAAACTGTATAACAAAAACTAAGAACAAAAATTTTTTTTTTTTCAAAATTTTCTGTGGTTTTTGGTTTCTTTAAGAAAAAATAAAAAACCCAGAGGTGATTAAATACCACCAAAAGAAAGCTCTATCTGTCTCAAAAAATGATAAAAATTTCATATGGGTACAGTGTTGCATGACCGCACAATTGTCATTCAAAGTATGACAGTGCTGAAAGCTGGAAATTGGCCTGGGCAGAAAGGGGTTATAAGTGCCCGGTAGGCTAGTGGTTAAACAAGTGTTGGTCACTGCATCTTCTTGTTTGCACTGTTTTCTGGCTAACACTTTTTAAATCTCAACTGCAGCCAAACGTTTATATACGTAGCTTACAATGGAAGGTTTATATCTGGTTTCAGGTATTTATAGCCATCTGTGTCCTTATTGGAGATATTTTCTCCAGTAAATGTGAGGATTTTGGCTTTAAAACAGAACTTCAGCCAAAAAAAGCAGAATAAAAATAAATACTTTTTCTGCTGCTAGATGTCTTCAGATGGTCAGCATCTTTCAACCCACTTTCTCTGACCCCAGTTCATTCTAAACCCGCCCCCAGCCTGTTTAAGGGCTCATGTACACAGGGCATTTGAAAAACTCTTCTGACCACTGGAAACTGACTGCTAGAAAAGGTAGGTTAAAAAAATGTCAGTTTAGCTGTGTTTACCTATCACGTTTATGCGCGTCTGCGTTTAGAAGCGCTTTTAAAAGATAACCTCAAGAAACCCTCCCAATTGTCCAGAATGCACTGCAAAATAGTGCAATAAATAAAATAATTAACTATTTCAGACATTCTGTGAGAAATAGAGAGAGCAGAAGCAGAGAAAGCAGTATGTTTTGAGATGACCTGTCTTTTTTTGTTGTATTCACTATGGATCCCATCATGAGCATAATGCAGCACGTTCTATTATTTTTTCCTGCATGTAAAATCTGGAACTGACTTCACTGGTGTACTAGGTCCATTTGAATACATGTAAAACGCTGTACATGCATTTTTGTTGAAGAAAAAAGGCTCTGGACAGCATCTGGATATGGACCAGCCAAAAACACGTCTAAACGCAAACGCGGATAAACGCATTTACATGCGTTTCCAAGCGTTTGCCATTTGAAACACAGGTAAACTCTACTGCTGAATGCAATTTTTGTGCTCTCAAGAAAATGCCTGTAAATGCAACTGCCTGTAAACTACTGTAAACGACTATGTGTACATGGACACATAGGAAAACAAGAAGGAGAGTTCAGGGGCTGCTGAAAAAAAAACACTCAACTGCTCCTAAACATCAGTTTAGCAGATGCAGTGTACATGAGCCCTAAGTGAAGTAGAAGGAGAAGCAGCACAGTGATGAGCTCATGCTCCCTTTTAAATATATAAATGTAATGATGTACAAAGTATTAATGATTACAGAGCTGCATTCACATTTGCATTTTATATCTGCCTAGACCAGTGGTCGGCAACCCGCGGCTCGCGAGCCACATGCGGCTCTTTACAAACTTAAATGCGGCTCTTCTGTGTGCCGGGCGCCCGCTCCCCTCCCTCCTCTCGGGCGGCCGCCCCAAAAGTCAGGACTCTGCAGATGTCAGGATGTAGGCGGGGCAGCCAGGATGTAGGCGGGGCAGCATGACGAACTCCTGTCCTCTCACAGTTTGCCCTGAAGACCAGAACGGCGCGGGAACACGGCGAGAGGAACGCGCGGAGCAAAGGTAAGTGAATTGACACAGGGGGGACTTGGGAAACATGTTTAATAAATTACCGACCCCAGTAATATTCATACCATTCTCCTTTGCTGGTGCTCCGGTGACAATATATTTTCACAGTTTTTTCTACAGCTAGAGCAAAACTGAAGAACCCAATCAGGTTACCCTACTCAGATTGTTGTTTTCTGACTGCATTCAGTCAATTGGGATTCACATATGTATTTAGTTAAACAGACCTTGTAGCAACATTTGCTTTGTCTGCTAAACACAAGCTTACAATCTGTACATGATGTACTTAAAGCAGAACTTAACTCTCCAGAAATGAATCTGCTTACATGTTATATTCAGTTCAAAATACACACACCTGTCCAGTGGATCCAGTGTTGTCATGCAGCGATCCTCTGTTCAGCTGTCAGTGCCTGTGTTCTGTGCTGCCATTTTAGTCCTCTTCTGGGTTCAGGGAGCATGGCCTCGATGACACGGCATCTCCACACATCCAGGCTTTTTGTGAATGGGCTCCTGGAATATGTGGCGAGGGTACATCATAGACCTAGGCTAGAAAAACTCAAAAGAGTGAAAGTGATTGTAAATGATTTAAAAAAAAAAATGAGAAACAGGCTTATACTTAACTGCTTTGCAATGAAATTGCACAGGGTGGCCCGGAACCTCCTATTTTCAGGTCCCCCACTTTGCTCCTCCTCTCTCCAGCCAGCACCCCCATAGAAAGTTTCTCATACAAGCTCACTCCTGAGTCACGCTGTCTGAATATATAGACTCAGAAAGTGGGACTCAGCCCACCCCCTACTTCTTCATCGCTTGTTTGGATTGGCTACTGCTGCCTCAGCAAAATCTGTGAGACCAGGAAGTGAGGGGAGAGAAAAGCTGAAAACAGGCACAGTGCTGGATCGAATGAGGGTTCAGGTAAGTAAAAGAGGGGAGAGGGGGAATACTGATGCCAAAATCTTTTTTACCTTAATGCAAGGAATGCAATAAAGTAAAAAAAATGTATGCTTTATAATCACTTGAAGTTTTGATTTAAGATAGAACAGAATTGTGGGCTGTCTAATCAATAACCAGTACTGTAAACCTGTCAATATTTTCTGCAGTGATGGAACCTTGGACTTCTGGGCTACCACTAGCTGCTCACAAGGAAAAGTGAAAGCCACTGGATAGTAACTCTGTTGTCAATGTAAAATTTAAAAGAAACTTAATTTCTAATCTTGTGACATTTTTCTACTAGCTGGAGCAAGAGATTGATAAAGGATTTATTAGGCTCTGACACTCCAGGAGGTGTCAAATTTTTAAAAGATTAGTATTCTGAAAAGAGAGTTCCACTTGGCTTAAACATTGTTGCAGCAGAAAGTGCTTTTGTAAGTATACAGTATCTTGATTACCAGCTTGCTTTCATACATAAAGAATCTTTAGGCTTGACTTGCATATATCCTCATTTACAGGGCTAGGCAGAGAGTTAACAGAAGTTCTGAAACATAAGGGGCTCTATCCAGAGCCACTGATCAGGGGGTACCACCAGTCCTCCTGTTTGGGGCCCAGCCCAGCAGGTGGGCCCAGGTAGCAGGGAAATCAGATGTGGGCAGGGAGGGTGATTGGTGCAGTGGGGGGGGGGGGGGGGGCAATTATTGGAACACATCTCCTGTATGGCTCTCTCTCTGCAGCAGCTGAAATCCAGCTTCTCCTCCTTTCCCTCCAGCTGAATTTCAGCTGCTGCAGGGAGATGCATACAGGGGATCAGTTTAAGTAATCCCCCTCCTTTCCCACTGCAGCGATCATCCTTCCTAGACATCATCCTTTTCCCCATGCTGCTTGGGTACCCATGTGTGCCCCCCTACCTCCATGGAGTGCTTCTGGCTTCCCTCCTCTCCCTCCCGCCAGCTGCTGCAGACACACAGAGGGATTAGAAAGTGGGGAAGGGGCTGGAAAATATGTCATATATATCTGACCCTTCCTAAATGAACACAATGAATGATCAGTACCATCCACTCACTGTGTTCATTCATAACTAATGCATAATGCACTGCATTTACTGAGCTTCAGTTTATAAACAGCTTCCATTTAGTGTGCCCTGCTTCCCCCTCATGTAGTGTTCCCTCCTGAGTCCCTGTACAATGTCCTGCTGCCCCCCACCCACAAAAACACACAGTTTATCCCAGGTTGGGCACAGAATGGAGCATCTCTGTAGACGAAAAAAGCACAAGTTTCACATTAAATAGGTACATTTTCATATTTATTCTTTTATTTAATGCTTCTACATTTATTTAATGCTTTCCAAAAATAATTATCAACAGCTCGCTGATCATACCAATGTTCCTTGAGCTGTAAATGTAAACGCTATTTCAGGAGAAATTCTGAAACTCTGCACACTGGTATATACCCTTTTCAAGTAGACTATGCAATAAATAGGGATATTTAGTTCACACATATTGCAATACATGCGTGGTTACGCCCCTTTAGCACCTGATGGATAAATGCATGCACTAGCTGTTGGGATTTGAGCACAGGTATCTCTTGTTCGCTATTTCAGGAGTTCCCTCGAGATCTCAAACTTTTTGCCAGGGGTTCCTTGAAGGTAAAAAGGTTGAGAAACACTGCCCTAGCGCATTACCCCAGTTTTGAGGGACAGGGGACCTTAACGCTGCTGTGCTCAGGCAGCATTAAGAGCCCTGTCACACTCCACTCTTGCGTAACCCTTCTGGAGCTCTGCCCACCAGTCCATGAGGAGTGATGTTGATTCCACACACCTCACCCCTCCCATACACAGGACAGTATTATCGGTGTAGGGCCTAAAAGGAGGGGTGCTCTACAGTGTGGCAGATGAGGGGTTACAGCAGTGCGGCGTTTGGCACCAACCTACGGTTGGTATGTACTGTATTTGCTCTGTCAACCGTAAGGCGCTGAAATCTGTAATTCACTTTTTCCACCCTTCATCTACCCCTCTAACCCCTGGGCCTAAGGGC